AAAAAAAAGCAAAAGTATGCTATGCAAATGTAAATGAGTGTAATATTTGACTTGACTTAAAATGGAAATCAAGAACTGCTAAAATAATAGGAAAGACAGTAGAATGAATCAGACGTAACTTTTCTATGTTCATATATGCATACACAACCAGTGTAACTCCATATCATGTACAACCACAAGAATGGGAAGTTATACTTCATACATGTATAATATATCAAAATACATTCCATTGTCATGTATAATTAAAAAGAACAAATAAAAAAATTTAAAAGAACTTCTGAAATAATGCCTTGTTAAGAATTAGCAAATGCCTGAAGTTAAATATCTGAGGAGAGAATGTAAAGACTCCTTGATAGCATCATTTCTTAAATATTGTTTACATTATTTCCAAAGTGTTCTGGCTACTATTGTGACTTTTTTTTTTTTTGTACCTGGGATTGAACCCAGGCACACTTAACTACTGAGCCACACCTTCCAGCACAGGCAGATAGATAGATAGATAGATAGATAGATAGATAGATAGATAGATAGATAGATATTTTTTAATTTGGAGACAGGGTTTCATTGAGTTGCTTAGTGCCTCACTTTTGCTGAGGCTGGCTTTGAATTCACAATCCTCCTCCCTCAGCCTCCAGAGCCGCTGGGATTACAGACATGTGCCATTGTGCCTGGAGACTCTTATTAACACATGTTAGTAACAGAAATGGGAGAATTCATTTTTGCAGTAATCCAGTGATTCCAGTGAATATCAGGGGACATAAATCAGCATGACATCTTAAAAGTGTCTGGTTTGACAAGACAGAGCCAGTGTAATGTGGCTTTTCTATTAGCTTGGCTATAAAGTTGGCTATTAACTTAGTATTTAATTGGATCCTCCTGCACTAGAACCATAAGAGCATTCAGTCCTGCAGGCTAGAGAACACGTTGTACCAGTTGAATAGTGTTAAAGGTATTTTAAGAGTCTGGTTATAATTGAATAATGACTAAACACAACCTATTATATCAGACTTTTAAAGGTAGTTGGTATGGTACCTGCCTACACAGAATCATGCCTGAACCTCGGAGTCTGAATCCTAGCTCTACTATTTACAGTCGGTATCTTTGGTTGTACCTTTAAGCCTTTATGAGCTTCAGTTTCTCCATCTTCTTAATAAGGGTAACAGTATCTGTCCTTACTTCATAGAATTATGAAAATTCTCTAAGTTAAATCATATATAGAAAAGAACTTTGGAGACTTAAGCACTACACAGACATTAGTTACAATTACCAAACATAATTCTTATATTTTACAGATGAGGAAATGGCCCAAAGAAACTGAATGACTTAACTAGGGACCTATGGCGATTGAGTTAGATCTAGAATAGATGCATCTCCAAGGCCTCTTGCTTTTTAGATAATCAATCAGTACTGTTTTTTTGACATTTTATATAAACTAAGGTCTCCATCCATGACTCATTTACATACAATTTATTACCCAGTCATAAAAAGTCATTAAAAATTAACTTGAAGTTTGTTAGAATCAAGATTTAATTACCATGTATGTGTAGATGCATTACTGAACTTCCAACTGTAGCGCAGCTAGCCCCTGAAGGGAAAAAAAATGTTTTTGTTTTTATTTTGCATGTTAGTGCTTGGCTAAAACTTCTGTTTTTATAAGGAGTCACATGAGTTAAGCCCTAAGTCTAATTACTGGGAAGAATCTATAAAACAAATCCAAACCTATTATGAAAGCCAAAACGTTCGCTCTATTTTCACAGTCCTTCTGAAATAACATTTTTGACTTTCTTTTTAACATATATTTAGAACTTTTAAATTTTGCTATTAACATAAAAAGTACCAGTGACCTCAATATATCTTATTCTTAAAACAAATTCCAATTTGTTTTAAGAGAGTCATTTATTAATAATGTGTGAAATTATCTAAAGATACTTTTTTTTGTATCTGGAAATAGTGGTGCAGGCCTGTAATCCCAGGAACTCAGGAGACTGAGGCAGAAGGACACAAGTTCAAAGCCAGACTCAACAACTTAATGAGGCCCTAAGCAATTTAGCAAGAGCCTGTCTCAAATTGAAAACAAAAAGGGCCGGGGGATATGGCTCAGTGGTTAAGTACCCCTGGCACATGTTAAGTACCCCTGGCACATGTTAAGTACCCCTAGCACATGTGCACAGTGGTTCAATCCCTGGCACACACACACACACACAAAAAAAAATGTTTTAAATAACCTATTTTGAGTTTTTAATTATAACTTATGATGGATTTAGATTAAGTTAAATTTGCTTTTAACTGTAAGTTCCTGTGAACTCAAATTCAGAATTTACAGGAGGAAACTAGATCAATATTTATTTTTCCAGCTATAGTTGAGTAGAGATTTGATGTTAGTTTTTTTCCTCAGAAAAAATATAAAGAGTCATGTTCAGCCTTGACCTCATTAAGAAATGTCTTTCAAAGTCTTTGAGAGTTTATAATAATTTAATTTTGTAGTGTTCTACAATGGAGAACTAATGGAGTTTATACCTGAAGATTTGACTCTTATCCTAGTTGATCTTTAGCCTCTTTAAATCTAGTTTTCTAATCTTTTGAATGGGATTATTTGAACAAGATGCACAGATTTTACTATAAGATTAATGTAGCAAAGTGGAGGCAGGGGACCAAAAAAAAAAAAATCTGAAAAAGCTATTGTGGCAAAGCTAGAATGTTTTTCAATCTAGAAAGAAGTAGAAATTGTAGTTACCCTTTGTCCTCAGGAATTGACCCAACTGAGATAATTGCCAAAAAGTAAGATTCATAGACCTGGGTCATGGAGAACACACAGAAAGCCTAACTGTAGATATTTCAACAGAGAAGCTAGCTAAATGTTCTTGTTGGTAATGCAATTATTGTAAGCTTCTGAGCCTTTACGTTATCTCTGCCTGCTGCGTCATTTTTGAGGTGGAAGCAGTGTCTCTTTTCTTTCTATCAAAGTCTAAATGATTATGCATTCCTGTTACTTGTGCTCAGGGAAAATAAGCATTCTTACCTAAGAAGGTGCTATTTGGAAGTCTGAAACTGAGGCCCAGGAAGTGGCAGGTGTTCAAAATTCATCCTCACTTGACATGGAATGACACCCTAGCTCCAGAGTGGGCTGTTTTCTCTATTCACACTTATTTCTTCAAGAATATACCAATTTTAACAAGAATTTTGTTGGTGTTGTTTAACAGTTTAAGATCTCATTTCAATTACACTGTGGAAAAAAAATGCTAGCATAAATATGTTCTAGCAATTAGCTTTGTTTACGTTTTTTTGTTTTGATACTTCTGGAGAAAGGAGGAAGGAACACAGACATTCAGTCTATTACACTTCTATAGTCCCTTTCTCCAGGGTTTAATACATAATCGTATGTATTAAAGGGATAGAGCCTTCCTCCTTGGAAAGTATGCTTCAATGGGAAGGCAAAGTATTTTAGATGATGTCCTCGTGAGAGAGAAGACTACAGGCATGGGCTATTTAATTTCAGTCATTTCTTTTTTGGGGCATGTTATATTTAGAAAAAGTAAACAACAAAATAAACTAAATGTATACATTCATTCCACAAAT